TCATTTGACTCATGAATAAAACAATTAAATTACGACAGTCTGCACAAATCCTCATTCTGATAATTATTTTTATATCACAGAGAACTTATATTTCATGTTTAATTGATTTAAAACTATCGAGTCAATTCTTGGCAACATTATTTTCTATAAAATATGAATAACTTTTCCGTCTATCTAGAACACTTAATAAAGTGCTTCAAAACTATATACTACGTTTGATTCAACTACCATATACAGCTTTATATAATCAACCTTCTCCCGTATTGTTTGTATGACAACTAATGATACCGATAACTATTTAGGAAATTTTAAAAGGCGGAACACAATTCAAACCTTTGATTTAATAGGTGAATGATGAATGTTTTGACAACTATTTCAAAGCTACGTAAATATCAAAAATTTTCTCTGTCTGTATTCAAATGCACACACACACAACAAAAAACGTTTTACGTATGTTTCACAATCATACGATTTAGAAACGTTGACAACTCACAAGGTAATTTCACGACTAAATATTAATCATAATGGTTAGTGTAAAATATCTTTTTAATAGTGTATATTACAGACCAGTATGAATGTCAAACTTAACTCATTTCATTTCTATTTCCAATTACTAATAATGATTTAATACAATATTAATTGTTTCCAGTTAACTTTATCATTCTACATAAGTACACGACTATATACATACTGAGTAGTTACTCAATTTTTACTATAACTTACATTCTATTTAAACTTTTATATTACCTGATGATTAGATTATTTTCAAATATTCCCATTTAACTAGAACATTAGCCTAAATATTAATGAAAATAAACATTCAACATCATTTCTACTGAAGTTAAAAAGCATCAAAGCAAAAAGTCATTGAAGAATTGGTTTTACCATTTTTAAGAAATTAATTTTAATTTAACGATCATTTTATGTCAAACAAATGAAGTATCGGTGGAAAATATGAAACAGTGAAATTATGTTTTGTTTAAGTCATGGGACTATTCAGTAATGTACATCTATGATCCCATATTGAATGAAACCTAAAATCTTCTATTCATGTTATATGCACTGGATCATTAGATACTCAGCTAGTTAGTTACATTATTCAATATAAGCCCTGTTATGTCACAAATTGAGTAATGAAAACTGCATTCTAGACTATTGATTTGTAGTATTGTTCTTAGTATATAGTTCGAAGGTCGTGAGTTTCGTTCTATGTATGGTCTTGGGTGAATATTACTGTGGAGTCACTAAAGCAGAGTAACACAACTGACAACTATATACGGGGAAACTAAGATAAAGTAAAGAATGACCTATACCCATAAAAAAGTTATTTGTATCAGATTGAGAAGCTAGAAATTGATTGGCTTTCATTTACATGTATAGAACTGTAAACCATTGAATATCCTGAACAGGTCAATGTAACAATCAGATTCAAGCACCAAGTCCAAGTGATAGTCTACCAGTAGACAGTAACTTTTTAAAAGTCATATATTTCTGTAATCGGATAATTGTGTACTATTGAAAATTCGTGTAAACCTCGTGATATAGTATGGCAAATTTAATTCTACATATTATATGAATAGTTTACAATTAATATTAGATTATTGGGTAATTATGTTCGAGTGTTGTTTTCAGTCGATATATCCCTCCAGTATTATTATGACCGATATGTTTTGATCGTAATTTTTGGAGTATCCTAGTCACGGAACACGTACTGCATCTTACTCAAGTAGAATGAGTGTTTTATTCAATTGCCAGTGTTTCCTCTAAACTCCAGAGGAAAAGGAACTGAGTGAGCCTATGTGAAACTATAATATGCACAGAAATAAACTATTAAGTAGTGATACAACATGGATTTCTTCTACAATATTTGAATAATTTGTATATTTAGAACAAAATTAATGTTTTACTTTGATTAGACGATGAATAATTTATAGATATGATTTCTGTCTTCATTAAAATGTTATATATATATTATAGTTTGGTAATGTAATGACTGATGGTCGACTGTTATGACTGCATCGGCAATTGTTATATCTGGTCGTCGCTAATTGTTATGTCAGAATTGCTAATTACTTGTAAACGAGGAACCACTGCAATTTTCACGACACTTAAGTAAGAACGCGAAGATTGGTACAAGTAAAGATTTATTAACCCCAAAACACGACGACGTCGACCCTAGTCGAAAATACACTCATTTATATATTGATTTGTATACCGATTTTGATTATTAATTAGGATTGAATCACATATATAAAAAGAACCCAGAACTATAACAAATCATATGCTGCGTGTCATGTTAAGCGTAGTTCATGTTAATTAAATACAAGAATATCGTATCTTGAATAAATCATCTCACTCAAATTAATGTTATTACCGAATAAAATATCCCACTGAAAAACAAACACAAATACTACACTAAGTAATTGTCATATTGAATTAAAACTGAAGTAATGTTCAACAAAATCCATACTGAGTAAACAAATCTAATGTTGCCTTTTTATCCCGTCATATCAGATAATATTTGCTATGAGGTGACCTAAGGTATAGAACTATTGAAAAATAGGGAGTAACGAACAGCTAACCCATCTAACCTTGAGACTTAAATAATGTGCGTGCACGATTCTAGACACGATCGATCGTAGATTTAATGGGGAGCACAATTTCAAACCACTGATTAGCAGTGTTCAACGGTTCACAACCTCTGTTCTAGTCAATTTATAAAGGATCTAATGCTTTAATTTGGACTTTGTAAACTCTATAATTCAAGATATATAAGGTGGAACATCATGATATGCGTCCTGAATCTAGCCACCACTAAACACAGAAATGTTCAAATTATTAATAATAAGTTTAGAACGTCATGAAAGTACTTTTTGTCGCGAAGATTTAACTGACCTTGTAAACATGTTTATGGGTTTATTGTATTCACGTTTTATAACCAGTACAAATGATATTCAGTGAAATATTCTCGAATGTTTCGTTTGAAGCATTCTGTTTATCTAATTAGGTTAGAACTAGTAGATAAATGACCAAAAAATAGTCAGTCATCCTCAACATAAATTATGATACAAATATTTATCAGTATCAGTTGCCAGCTCGGACATCTGTACAACAAAAAGGGAACCGAACAGAACGAAAAGCAAAGAAGTAAGTAATATCGAATTCAATCGAATATAAGAAGTACAGTAGAAGAGGAGTGGATGAGATGATGGAACGAAAAATTAGGAAGGAAAATTCAGTCAAGAACTAAGGGTAGAGAATGAACGCAACTTCCTAACCATCCAGTACAAATATTGCACAACCTCAAACCAGAAACTAGGTGCAGTTCATCACTGCTCAAATAAGCGGTTAATAGCTTCATGGATTGGTTCTACGCTTTAGTTTTTCATCCTAAGCTTACTTCTAACCAGCTCCTATGGGAGCTGGCATTGAGTGACAATACAGATGATGGTTGAAAATACAAGAATTGCCAAGCTACTTTACAGATTTGTCAATTTTACCAAGAACCCTATGTCTAGCTTTAGGACTTCTCATTTGGTTGCTCCAGCATCTGCGAGCAATTCGTCAAAAGTATCTATGATTAAATGCTAGTAACGTGAGGATGTTTCCAATATTTAAAGACAATTTTTCAGAGCTATAAAGTAAAGTAAAAACGTATTTTTTAAAGGATCACTTCGAATAATTAAACAAATATTCATTTTTTGTACTAAAGTAACAAACGAATTGTTATTAACACTAATATGTGACTAGCCTGAAACAAAAGATAATCTCACCACCAGATAGACAAAAACGATCCATTATAAACTGGCTGTTGTATACGTCAGTAGAAGCTTTTGAATGGACAGGGCTGATTAACTTTCACAAATTTACTTAGCTGTATCAAAATCTCACAAACTCATGGGATTCTACACTTCAAATGAACTATACAAGAGTGTGAACCAACTTTTTGTAAATGAATGCTAAAATGGGGAGGGGGGTTTGTATGGTCATATATAAACATTATTTGGTGACAAACTACTACGGTTGATTGACAATTATTTTTCAATTTACAAAGATAGATATGAGTACATAAATGCCCATCCTTCTAACATATACAATGCGGAATGTAAATAACCTATAATTTGATAATATCACGTTGGACAATTTGATACATGCATACTGTTAGGTGCTTGGAGGTGGTCAGCAGGAAACAATGGACTTAGGGTTTCGTGTTATATGGTAATTGTTAGCAAGGTGTACATGTGATCTCAAGGTAGTTAGTAACCCTTAGTGGATTCAAACCCTGGTCATCCAGTTTAACAATCTAAGAAGCTACCTCTGAGGCTATGCGAACCGTGACCTACCTCATGTAGGAGTAAGATATTTATATTGATAAATCACTAAGTAGTGACCAATACCATGTTCGTCAAGTCCTTAGAGCTAATCGAATATCATCGCTTAAGTGACGGTGCGGCCACTAAGCTATAACTCAGCATTCATACACACCATACCCGTACTACAATAACGCAATAAAGTTCTCAGTTTTGCACTGACGATGCATAAAATATAGGATGGGATAACTACATTTTGGTAGATAAATCACGTCGGTACAAAGAGGATTCAACAATACGCAAACAAGTATAGAAACAGGTAAAAACTAAAAGAAAAGCAAATACATGTGTTAAGGAAAACAAAGACTAGGTGATATTGCCAACCTAAGTGTAAGCATTACTGAGCGAATGATAACCAAAAATTACACAGTTGCCTAGAAAGAAAACTATACAGATCATTCATCAAACCACACAGTTCCTTGCCATGAATCGAAGTTTTTCTTCTGGATTTTACTAACCTTCAGTTCAGCTGACATAATCACTTAGAATACATGTGAAACTACAGATAACTACCATAGTCATTACTGAAACTATTCAGTGTTCATCAAATACCTTCATACCCGTTATTCATGCTATATTTTAACATATGAACAGTGAAAATGTCATTTTTATGAAGAAAAAAAGTGTTCTTTAGAATAGGAAAATATATTTATTGTTAAAACCAAATTAAAATGTAGAATAAAGAACACATAAAAACCAACAGGGAACTATTTTTTTCAAAATATTTATCTACATATATATATATGCATAGAATGCACTGGAGAAGATTGGGTTGTGCTATATAAATGTGTATATTGTCCAAGATTATATGGAAAACCACTTCAAACAGACGAACAAAAGGAAGACAAGGTCATTTGCACTTATATACATAAACTGTGCGTATTACAGACTGTTTTCGTAGTTTTTTTTTCATTTTTGTTTTTAAAAAAAAGAGAATAAAGATAGCAAACAACGTATCCGTAGTTTTACCACATTAAAAGTTCACAAGATATACGTATGTATGTATGTACGTATATGCAAGCATGTATTGTATTGTACATCCACAACTGGAGAAAAGAGCGAAAAAAAGATAAGAAATTCAAGTAAAAACATTAGACCCTTATCCAGAATCTACATTGACAATACCGCTACTTCCATCATCAATCAATACTGCCAGTAGTTGTTGATGGATTCAACGCTTCTACTTCATAATGTCGATATACTGAAATGATGTAAGTCATTACAGAATTCCAATCAGGTCGTTCTGTTGTAAGCATATCTTGTAATTTTAGTGTAGTTGGAATACCTTCATCTTCGGCAACTTTAAAAGCAATCTGTACAAAAAAAAGGATTAAGAAAGAATGACATTTAAAGAAAACAAAAAGTGGACTGCTATTAAAAACCAGACAATAAATTAATATTTTAACTTTTGACATTAACAAAAGATAGTAAAAACTAGGAAACGACGAACAGAATTGTCATTACGATTACTAATTAATCATATGTATGATTTGTTTAGTTAGATATTGCTCCGTAGTTTGAAATGTATCAGCTAAGAGTATTTATGACATCATTGAAATTTAAACTCAGGATCTTCAAGTCTCACCGTGAGTGCTTAATACTTATACCACTGAGGTAATATTCAATGGTCTAAACTTATAACTTTAATCGATTCGAAATATTATGGAATCATATTGCAATATCACTAGTGGGTAACTACTTTACACTGGATATGGCTTAACTCTACTGGTCATGGCTTGAGATCAGCCCCCAAAAAAGCCATAAGACCTAAAGGTCCGAATTAAATTTATTTACTTCAAAGAAGTGGCTTGCATTAAGTCACGAAACGTCAGAAATACAATTTTTCTACTCATCGGGATATAACAAAAAAATTTATTTATCATTAGACAGCTGTTTGTTTATTTATTCCGTGTAAATTATATTTTAACGAAACTAAATTGTAAAAGATTAATCTAAGTTATAAATCTAATTTGTAAAAACATCAGAAAGTTTCTCCGATTAGTTAAGATATAAGAAGAATATCAACTGATTAGATAAATAAAGCTTTTGGAATTCACCAAAAGTGACATTTAAGAATAAATTGTAACTCATTGACTGACGATATGATTAGTATTTGTCAATAAGCTTGAAAAGGTCACTCGCTAATGTAGTATTATAACAGTAACATGCCGAAGTAAACAAATGAATGTATCATTGTATTTGTAATTTATTTATCACGTATACAAGAGGTTAGGTTGTGAACTAAACTTTGGGTCATACTAGTTGTGTAAGAGTCAATAATATTACCCGATAGTTCAAACTGAAATACATGAAGCAGAATATGAACTGATAACTGATTAGTTGAAATTTAATTGTTTTAATCATTAAACAATTTGATATGGATTAACAATTATTTCTATTATTCAGAAAAATCTGAACAGAAAGCCTACATCATTCAAAAATAACCTCATAATCATGTTACACATTCATCAGTATCATTTGTCAACGATAATCTTCATTATAAATCTATAATACTAAAAAGAACTATAATACAACAAAAACTTACTTCAAAACAACGTCGTTTATCAATAGGTAAACCATTAGATGTAATTAAATCATTCCATGGAATTTTTGACGGAACATATGTATGTAATAAAGCACAAAACGCTAAACCATTATTCCATGAACTAGAGAAATTTGTTACTTCTACACCACGATAACCCAATACACGTGACTGACACCAACGTAATAAAGCATTACGCTTTGAACCAGCTCCAGTTAATCTAGCTAATTCTTGTAATGGATCCTGCCAAACTTGATGAATACTACTATGAAAATTAGTTGTTGTATTCGAATGATGATCTTGTGTGGCATTAATCGATAACAAATTGTCATTAACAGCAGTAGTAGCAGTAGAAATGGTTGTTGAAATATCAGATTCCTGGATGAATGAATTACGATTATTTTCACTTGAATTAACACTAGTTGTACCATTACTAGTACTTGTATGTTTTTTCCCATTATTATTATCATTACTACTACTATCTGGTATAGTTGTTGACGTGAAACGTCGAAAACTCACTAAATCTAATGATCTTGATGGGGATTCTTTATGTTTTATGATTAAATCAGTTTTGCTATTGTCGTATGATCCATCATCGGTAGTGACAGGATGATTAGTAACAATATCGTCTGCTTTGAACACTTGTACAACATTTGGCGTTGAATTACTACTCTCAATTACATTACTTGTTATCAAATTATTATTGTTATGATTATTACTGTTCAATCCAGTTTTTATAGTTGATCCACAAACACTATTATTTCGTCTGGAAAAGACAAACAAAATAAAATGGGATTCCAAAAAGTAAATAATCATATAAATATATCAGTGATGAATGACAACTGTTGAAAGTAATTTTTAACGAGACATTTCTTTAAAATTTCAATACAAGAATATCAATAACGGATTGACTAGAACTAGAAGTTGTAGTTTTTCTAACTACGTGTATGAATGGAAGTTAATTTAATTTAACAAGATGGATGCAATTTTATACTTTTGAAGTATAATACATATTTTCACCGTTGAAATTACGATTTGATCTCAAACCGCCAGCAAAAAACTGGAAACACTGAACAGCCGTTTTGTTTTAGTATGGGACTCACCAGAAGTGAACATCCCCAAACTTGCACGCAGGAATCAAACCCACAACCTTCAACATCGCACTAGAACACCTAACCTCTAGACTACTGAGCCGGCATCAAACGGTATTAATGCGTGACTCAAATTAATCCACGACCTTATGTAACTCCTCATCTAGTGCCCGTGGTGGATAACTTTCTCATACTCGACACGGAATGAACTCCACTAGTCACGGCTACTTGCTAGAACTCCAGGGGTTACATATTGAAGTCAATCACTAGTGGGTATAGGGGATGTGTGGAAATTAGGATTTCGACCGTTGACACATTTATGATAATGAGTTTTCCATTCAATTATAAAAGATGTACAATCGGATACAAATATCTATTGACTATATATGCCACAATTCATATAAATATAACCAGGGGAAATTAACAAGACGTAAACTATATTGATGTTAATGGTGACAGACATTAGACACATAGAACATTGTTGTGAAAGGACGATTAAAATGCAAAAAATAATGTTTGCAGTAAACACATACACTTTTACTATGATTAATTTTAAGCTGTTACCTAGAGTCTCTAACAGTAATCTTGTGGATACCAGCCAGAAATTCTGTATAGGTCAGTTCAAGCCAATAATTTTAATTATTCAGGTCAAATCTGGTCTGGTTACTCATGGCAAAGATTGTTACTTCGAGATTCGATCTTAATCAGTTTCATAATTTTTGACCAGTACAACCATAAAGATGATTTTTTCAAACACAATACATGCATATGGAGAAGATGAGGAGTTACAGACATATGGTAGTGTGAAGATTGTTAAGTATCATCAAAATCATGAACCGACCAATACTATACCACAGTTGAAAACCTCCTACAGGGAGCGTCAGTTTCCTCAAGATTACAAGTACACCTTGCTGCACGATTACCTGTCGACTACTTATAACCACCACCTTACAAAATGTGATATGTAATTAGTGTTTGTTCTGTTCTTTTCATTGAAAATGAATCCAACAATTCACAGGTACGCAAAACTCGTTTAAATGTCTAGTGCAGAATTATTATCTTTGATACATTATTATATGAATTATGCAAAAAAAACGTTTGAAAATAACACAGTTGTGAAATTGACCTCTGACCTGTTCTAGCATATATATATATAGTCATTAATGTAACCCAGTTATTTACACTCATTTATGTCAATTGTTTTCACTCCATCTCAATGTAAAAATTCTATCACATTTTTGGTTTGTAAGCAGCTGACGAGAAACCTCGAAATAATATGAATTCACACTATTCTGCACCAATATTTGTTCTTGCTTTATTTAAATTCATAAAGGGAACCAATTGCATGAGATAATTGTTTACAGGTTTAAAAGGAATATTAGACTTCATTTTTAAATGTTGATTGAAACCTATTAAACAAACTCCTTGATGTAAAGACGCGTAAAACTCAGATTTGAGTTTTACTTTAAAGGCTACTACTACTAACCATACAGACAGATAAATTTCAGCAAATGGGAAACATGAGAATTGATAAGTAAGTACAGGGTACAAACTAACCTGAGTAAAACATCTTTCGAATCTATTTTAGTAAATTGATCTAAATTACCAAACACTGATGTTCCAGTTGAATTCATGATAGTTGATGTACCAAGTGGTGTTTTAACATTACGTTGATTATTATTAATACTAGTAGTAGTGATGTTATCTGATGGGAACTTCTTCGTTACATTTTGATTACTTATTATAGTGGAACTCGGTCCACCAGGTGCTGATGTATGAATCAGGCTGTTCATATCTCTGTTCTCCTGGTTCTTCACTTTGTAATTAATTTCTGATGAAATGACAGGATTAGTGATAGTTGTCCTTGAATTCAGTTGATGAGTTGAAGTGGAATTACCAGTATCATTGTTTCCATTACCATTATTATTACTAATAGGTGTAGTCGACTTTCCAGGATACCCAGTTGGTGACATTAAACTAAGACATGATGAAATATTTTGTCGATTATTTTTTCCGTTATTACTATTGTCATTGTTATGAGTAGTAGTGTATAAACGGACTGGACGTGAATTACCGACTGATGCAGATGTTGTACTGCGTTTCTGATGTTGGACCGCTTTGACCTAAATTAAAAGAGAAGTAAAAATAAGTGTTTTATATTAAGTAAAGAAACTAAACGTCAATACATACTAGCTAAACTTTTGTAATCAGCCAGTCCAATAGAATGGAATTCTTGCAAGTACGTAACAGAATGGTCTATAAAAATCAAATGATTATGACTAACTTAGAGAAATTAATCAGTAATCATGCATCTCTTCACGGTTGTCATCTTCCAAGGATGATATCTTATATTAGTATGGCTCATAATAACCTTTTAACAATCGGATCAACTTTATGTTAGTTAATATGGCATAGACACATAGATAGCGGTTGGCGATGTATACCGGATGTCAAAACTATCACAGTAGAATAATGAGCAAAATGTAAGATAATTTACAAGATGTATCTAATAGCCTACCTTTGACAACAGTACTATTTATTATATGATTCAATCGTACAAAAGTAACAGTTTTAAGACGAATACAATTTATTTAAACTCGTACTAGCGAATTACACATTTCTCTTGCCTTCAAATATAATGCTTCACACCAGCAAAGTAATGATAAAATGGAGTATTTATTAATTTACTTAGTTTTCATATTACTCTTGGAGCACGGGAGATGTAAGTTGGCAAAAGAGACGTGAGGAGGGTTAGTCATGGAGATAAGAGAGGTATTAGGATGTATAGGAAGGATTTGAATATGACCAACTTGGTCTCGTGTGCTGTTACGGGTATGGAGACTGATATTACTTCCCGGCTGCCCACACCATGGAAGGGTATTTCTTGAGGAACCTGAAAAGGAAATTGGATTAGTGTTGGTCTTAACGACCTGGGAGCGTGACCGCAGAGCCCAAGGGACAACTGCTTGAGGCCTGTCGCGCACGGCCTTTTCGTGGAAGGTTTTTAATGCGCTAGCTCCGTTCTCCAAAGGCCCTTACCACCGGAGACGGAAATCCGTGAGGTAAGGTGAGGTGTGACATTTTTAGGGTCGACCTTTTCTAACCCCACCCCTCCTTATGGGAAGGCAGCATCGCTACAGGAACATGTGTTTCAGCCAATATAGCTCGGTTGGGTCACCACGATAGGCAAGCCCGACCACCGCGTCAAGGTAGCAGCTTCTGAACTCTTCATATCCCTTTCTTTTTTCTCTTTCCAAATTTATTTCACTGAATTATACTCTTTGAATAACATCTTCAAACCCTAATTTTTCTGATTACAGCTTATAATTTTACTACATCTAGCACTACGGGATTTGAATCGACCACTGCATCTCTGTGCTAATGTGGTGTGACAACTCGAACTGATGTACGTACGTACGAAGTTATACGTTGTTACTGACTGACTGAAGTTGGCAAAAGTCAGATAAATCTCTAGTATACACGTAGAGGTTTCATTAGAAAGCGGTATTTAATTAAAGTATTTCAATCCCATCAATACTTTGAAGTATGAAATTGAATACGAAAAAAAAACAAAGGTCATGAACTAACAATGTTAAGTATGCACATATGACACAAGGAAGTACATTTCATAGATTGTTACACTTCGAGTAAAAGTCAACGAGAGAATTAATCATATTATTTATATAAATAAACTGATAAGCCAAGCAAGTAAAAAGTAATTGTTCTTTGCTCATACATAGTAAATAAGAAAACAATTTGCAAGTGCACATCCCTACGCATACATATATGTGGATAAATAGACAAATAAGCATAAATAGAAACAACCAATACCTGATTTTCAATACTTTGAATTAAACTGCGTACAGTTGGCCCAGTTGATAGAGCACTAGGTCGACCTGGTGCTCCAGGTGAACCTGGATACGTAGAATGTAAATGGTTTGTATGATTGAATCCAGTGGAACGATGTGCAGTAAAAGGATGCATTATACTATTACGTCCAGTGTAGCTATTGTCTGTCAGTGTGCCGGGTGCTAAACGACATGAGTTAGTTGTTGTATTTGTTGTAAGATAAGCGGAACTACTTGGACAAATATTCTGAATGATATTTGATAGAATTGGTTGGTTTGATGAAGATGAAGTAGATGAGACTGAGGTAGGGTTGGGATTTGGTTTATCCGTTCCATCTGACGGTAGATGAAAACCAGAAGTAAAGTTTAGATGTTCATTTCCAATTTTTCTAGATGATGATAAGTTGATTTTATCTTTTAATATTGTAATTTCAGAATTCAAACGAGTAGAATCTTTAGTTAATTTTTCAACCTGTAGATGAATTTTAAAAAAATACGGCATTAAGATTTCGTTGAAAAGAACAAAGTCATTAATTATATGCTAATTAGCTTCGATAGAATAACGCATGAAATTATCTATAATGAATGCATCTTCAAAAGTTCAGGGATTTTTAAATATACATTCAATCCAACTAGTTGAATTTCAGGTTTTCAGGCAATTTTAGTTTTGTTCAGTCGAACTGAGGATGACTCTGGTGTGAAACGAGCGAAACTTGTTGCTTGGCGTTTAGTATTAAAGTTCATCTGTTTATAACATGCAAAATATGCTGCAAATTATTACCTTAGTGTTGTTATTTAGAACAAATATTTTATGGAAGAAATAGTTATGTTATTGTATATTCGTTTAACTATTGGGAAATGTCAATTTGTAAATTATTTATTTTCCAAATTGAGCGTAAACGATAGCATATTTTCTAGACTACAACTTTATTTAAAAAAAAAACCAGAGGAAGAAATTTAAACAAGCAGAGGATATATGTCTACTGAATGAACCAGAAACTGAGTGGCAACACCAACAAGAAACTGTGAGGGCGCCCACTATTTATGGTGAGCCGTTAACAGTCTCAAAGTTCGTGTATCTAAGTATTAGCTGGAGTGTTCGTGGTAGCGTAACAGATTAGATCAATCCACATATGATGAAAGCCACAGTGGTCTATGACAATTCGGACTATCTTTGGAGCTGTTGTAATATCAATCTGGTTGGCAAAGGTAGGGTTTACAGCGCATCAGCGAGAGCAATTTGCTCTATACTTGTAAAAGCTGGTCTTTCCGAGTTGAGGATGTTCGGCGACTCTTTGTGTTCGATCATCGTCATCGCCAAATGACTATTGAGATTCAGTGGCAAGACCATATTATCAATCCGTGTTTGGTTGCACTGATGATAACTTAATCAGTGCCACCAGCTCCAGTGGCTTTATCATGGGTCGCAAATGTCGTCCCAGAGGTCTTCACATAGTGCATTATTTGTTGAAAGTGGGATTGGATGTATAAAGTGGAGAGGTAGTCAGTTTGTGTCATGATGGTGAGGTATGATGGAAAGCTTTTTTGAGAGTGATATCTCTCGATCTATAACAACTCCTTGGATGAGGTCCTACAGTTAGTGTAACCCAGTGAAATTTGACGTCATCAAACATGGTTAAAAACAGACAATGGTGGTTTTGTTATAGCCTTGTTTTACATTCTTCATAAAAGTGAGAGGAACTTTTTAATTGAAAGAATCCCTCCCTTCCATATTTTCTCTCAGCTTTGTTTTTCTTGTTGTGTGACCCATTTGTACCAATATTCATGCTTTTAAATAAGTAATTATTTAGTTATGCGGCAGTAAATGAACCAGTTTACTCTTCCTAACTAATTAAGGTCTTTTATTTAACGAAGTAATAAAGTATCATAACACTTTGAATCATATTAATAAGTGTTAACAATCATTCTAATAAATACTTAAATAACTTGAAAGTATCCAATTTAACTAAGCTTCGATAACAGTTAGTTGTTTGGTGGATTAGTTTAGTTCAGTTAAACGACTAATCAAGTACGCATTAAGGTATTCTGCTTCTAACCATATTTTTTATCTGAGGAATAATGCTACCAACTGACTGACTAAATCAAAGTAAATTGACCGGGGGATTTCGAACCTAAAACCCAGATGTAGTCAATTATTTAAACGATTACACGACTGTTCCAGTTAATCAGTTTAAATATTCCTAATCATCTACCACAGGGGAAATTAGTGTACAATCGGAAACCTAAACCATTTTTATTTAGCATTACAGTCACGACTATATTTATAAAACAGGTAAACATAGGAAGAAATTTACTAGTTCCATTTTGCATAGAAATAAACTCGTTTCTTAATAAAAGCAATATATTAAATTAAAAAGAGCACCCATTAAACGTCATTCAATATACACAGAATCTGATGAAAACAATAGATATTTTCTTCTTACTTTTCCTCTGCTGATTACTATCGCAATACAAGGTAAGTTTAACTTTCAACGAAAATATTGTACAATATTCACCTTTTTTTCTTAATAAGACCTTTTACGCGGCATAGTTATTTATACACATGCACTCTGTATTAGAAGCACACACACAAACGATTTATCCTAACTAAAATAATCCATGTAAACAGGATTATATGAATCACCATGTGGTTAGTCTGAAAAAAATTAGCATAAAATCAATATAATAGTTGTGAAAAAGGTTAACGATTTCCGTAATTTCTATCAATAAAACAAAATAGATGTGGAAGGTAGAGCGAGAGGAAATTATTAGAAGCAGCTAATGTATAGTGACGCTGTGCACTTCTAGTTGATAAGATAGTAACTGATTATCACCTGGTAATTTCATAAAAGACGTTATTCGAGGATTATCAACCATTTTAGAGGTTTATAAAAGATAAGTAAGGTCAAAGACAACTGATTACCATCTTCCTATTCTTACAAGGTAAGCATAGTAGTTGACCGATTATGTTCAAGTGACAAATACTTCAGGGTCCCAAAATGTGAAGAGTCTTGATATCTTAGAAATAACTCCTAACTACGCTTCAATGCCAGGGTAACTTAACTAACTTTTCGTTTCTAACTCCCACTACTCGGAAAGAAAGATTTATTGATATGGATTAAAAAGCGTCATCAACCATTCGGAATCAGTCAGTCAGTAACAACCTAGAACTTCGTACGTACGTACATCAGTTCGAGTTGCCACACCACATTAGCACAGAGATGCACTTGTCGGTTCAAATCCCGTAGTGGTAGAGGTAGCAAGAGCATAAGCAGTAATCGGGAAGATTGGGGTTTGGAGATGTTATTTAAAGAGTATAATCCAGTGAAATAAATTTGGAAAGAGGAAAAAAAAAGACATGAAGCATTCAGAAGATTAGAATTTGGGAGAACACAAAGAGTGTATGCACCCGCGCCATTGCGAACGATTTTGAGCCATGTCATTCAGGGTCTCTAACCATCAGTTGCTATCACCTCGCGGTCCCCAACCAGGTAGTCTACACCTACCAACATGACTCAGTCCACTTGTCAGTGACTTCATGGACTTGTGCCATGTTTTAGTTTGGCCGCCTCTAGCTTTCTTCCAACCTACTCCTATACCACTGAACATAGCACGTCGAGGTAGTCGGTCGTTGGGCATACGTAACACGTGTCCCAGCCATCTCAACTGATGAAGTTTCACTACGTCATCAATTGATTTGCCATCCTTACCTAGTACCCGTTTCCTAACAACTGTGTTACTTACTCGATGGTCCCATGATATACGAGCAATGTTTCGAAGACACCTATAATCGAATACTAGTAACCTATGAGTATCCTCTACTCTTAACGGCCATGTTTCACTGCCATAAAGTAGGACGAAACGAACTGCTGCGCAGTAAACACGTCCTTTGGTTGATAGACAGATATCTCGCCTACGCCATAAATGACGCAGTAATTACTAGTTCAGGGAATTATCATCTCAAGTGAAAGCTACATTGAATAAAAACGAATATTATGCTGGATGAAAATCACAATTAATTAATACATGATTTTACACTTAATTTCTCAGTAACAAATTGTATTTGTATTTAACACTCCTAAGAGATTGAATGCTTTTAACTTGGAAAACCATAATATTACAAAAATAGTATTTTTTCTAAATGCAACTTAGTAAATATATTTAATTTTGTTTTTGGTGGAGTTTTGTTCTCTGAGCTGGATGGTTTGGTCGTGGAGCTTTCATCCATCCAGCTCAGAGAACAAAACTCCACCAAAATCATCCACCTGAGCTACAAATCTTCTCCAGCATCTCAATTTAATTTTGTTTTATTCCTAATAATCAAGTAAATGCTTTTAGTTTAAATGGTACGAAGGAAAATATTCTGCATGGTTTCCTTCATACTACTTAAACTTGTATTATTTTATTTCGGTTATTTGTTTACTTAGAAGAAGTGACTTCCATTAAGTCACGAAGCATCAAAAACACTATTTTCTACTGGTTGGGATATTTAAAAAAACATTTCTTATTAACTTTCTACCTATGGTCGATTTGAAACCTTCAAGTCCATTCTCAGCACTGATACCTACAAAACGTCATTACTATGAATTTACTGACACATTAAATAATATTTACGGAAATAAAAGTTGATACTATGAAGAAATACATTGGTCGTAGTGGGACTTGGATGTTTGACCTCCGCCTTAATAGCCCAATACAATATCAATAGAGTTAAGAAACCTACGTGAATATCGTTTGATCGAACACAACGTGCTGTGATTGGATGTACATCTAATTAGCAGCTGAATGACGCAACTCAATAAGTATGTCAGTAGTGCGCTGGACCAATATGAGCAAAAGGTTACATCTTCTTGGAGCCTTAACTATTTATTCAGTTCACATAAAATCCGGTACAACTGCGGAAAAAAAAATCAAATTTTTGTGAACTGGAATACTGTTTAGGTGCCCAAGACGAATGTGGTTTTAGCAGGAGGCCATCTCCACAATAATTACTCCAAACGTCTAATCCACAAAAAAGTGGGGAAATGTAAAGAGCTGCCATCCTATAGTAACCAGTAACCAAAAATAGGTTCACACGCCAATCATTTCTCTAGGACCCTGGAGCTTATGTACACTACTGGTTTAGAAGCGATTTTTTTATTTCACTGTATGGATCATCCATATTCTCAACATGGTTTGGTTTTTCATCCTCCTATCATTGTAAGAAGCATACTCGCAGCGTGAAGGAAGTGAGAATAACTTCCCTTACAGAGGCTGTAAACGCTTGGTCGTATAAATGGATTTCGGAAGAGCGGCCTCCCCACCTTCTGCCATACCAGGATATTTATGGGAAGTCGTTATTGTCCAACCGATGGCGACAGAAACTCTAACAATTGTTCTTATACTCATACTACTTTTATGTATACTGCCTTGAAGTGAAACCATGCTGAAGTTACATAATAAAAGGCTGCTTTTCCTACCTATTATTATTATTTCATTGTTATTCAAACATATAAAATAATAATTCTATCTATTACGTTAATTAAAAACACAGGTACTCGCATTACGCAAATCAATCAGTGTAGTGAACAATGATGATTAACAAACTATTTTATACATACAGCATATATTCACACATACTTATAAGTATTTTTATTACATTCTTAACGAAAATTCACTTTTATTTTTAAGACAGAAAAGAGAAAAAAGGAGAATTTTAAGAGTAAAACTTCCATTGTATTCGCTTATTTATTTATCAACATGAGTATTATCAAGTGTCATTAATTGACACTTCTTAATACTGGGTCATGGATACAGCCCCCCCCCCAACACACATGACAGTTTAAAAGGAGAATATTTGTAACATAGATAAAACAAAATATTCTCACAAGTAATTACTTATCAACTCATGAATAATTAACAGCATACATAAAAAAAACAACTAAGAGTACATGATTATCACTATTATTCTTGAACATCTTTCATAATCTACGGTACATTTTGTATCAAATTTTAATTTATGAAAATAGTTTTATCTAACAAACAGAAAGACACTTAATACAAATCATATTATGATACCGGAATTATTCAAGTTACAGAGTTAACAGTGCCGTAAACAGTGATTCATGAACAAAGAATATTCTTTTCAATTAATCTTCCACAGGTTCAATATCAACCTACTTAGTCCAAAGTGGTTATTATAACAACATAAATCAACCATTTTCAATGATTTATCAGGTTAGTAGTTCTTCCTAAAGTTGATAAGACTTAAAGTCCAACAAACGGCAGAAACAACAGCCATTTGGAATAAAAGACAGAAGTTTATGTACCAAAGAAGCATACCCAACTTATTTTCCTACCTTGTCATCAAATCTATGATAATTTTAGTGACCGAATGAACTAATTTGAATGATTCCCGTGTAACCTTCCCCACTTAGCATTTCCACAACCTGAAATTAATCCTATCTAATCGCTATTGTCATTCACATATCTTAGGTGTTTATTATTATTGTCTCGACATCATTACTAATCTTCCGAAAATATGAGCAAGCACTTACTCCCCCACATTAGCTTCTACTGGATGCACAACATTTTACACCCTATACAATATACCAAACATTTGATCTGATTTGTTTCTCTCTTACCTTCTATTGACCATGATCATTCTGATTATTGATCTCCGAATTCCACTCGACGTAGAGACTTTTCAAGTTAACAATGTATGTTGATTATTTCAACACTAACAATTTTACTTTAATTTACGAACAGTCCTAAATTCACATGCTATGACTGTAAACGATGCATTTTGCCCTAAAATTGTCCACTTTTTAAATTGTTAATTTAAACATATAATTGTAGAATCTAAAGAGAATTTATTGAAAAGAATATCTCTCGTTCATATGTTAATTTGTTTTCAAACAATTCTATAAACATCCATTCAGTTGTTTTTTTTCCTAGTTTCATTTTACCACTAGGCTAATATAGCTGAGAGTGAATTAATTCATATTGTGCCAGTCAGTCAAACGTAACGATTCAATTTGCCATACCCTATTCGCGCAGCAAGATGAAATTTTTAGGGCTAATCGCGGAGTAGTAGAGGTTCTTTAGAAGAACTGAGAATTCTCTTGAGGTTTTAGGAGTGCCTTGTTTGTGCGTGTGTGTATACATGATAGTAGGAATGACACCTATATCTTAGATCGTTTGTCTATTTTATTTAAACATCATAATAAAAAAAACATCTCAAGTTTTTTCACTCAATAGTTGATAATTTAATAAAATGATCTTGTTTAGAAGAATAAGATTAATACATTAATTTCAGAATTATAGTCCTCAATCCCAATTAATACACTATGGTTTCAATAGTCGGATTCGTTTTGTAAGCCTGTAAGCTTAATATACAAATATGAATATAATTGCTGAAATTAACTGAAATAATTTTACTTCTTATTCTTTCACATAACTTACTTGTTCTTTGAGGGATGCATTCTCTGAGCTTAGGCGGCGAGATTCCAGTTCGGATTCCGTTTTGATTTCATCAGCGACTTGAACAGCTTTTAACAAATCTCGCTCATATAACCGCCATTCAGTTTGTTCACGCTCACGTTCACAAAGTAGAATTTCATAATTTTCTTTGATTTTATGCAACTCAACAGTGATTTCATTCAATTTCTTTCTATCTTCATTAATGGATACAGAGAGTGGGTTTTCAAGTGAATCAATAAGAAAAACACAATCAGTTTGAACAGCAATGCTAACTCTTTTCGAGTGATCTGATATATCATCCTGTTTAGTTAGTGAACTTTTACAACAATCTAGAGAAATTTGACTTTTAAGCGAAGTTAATTCTGAAGAAACAGATTGGTATGCTTTTTCCAAAGAAGAATGCTTCGTTTCTAAAGCATCATAACTGTCTTGCAAAGCTGACGCTTTTTCTGTCAAAATACGGCATTCACGAGCAAGACTTTCTGAACTTTGGGCCAAGTCATTATTTTGACCTAGTAGAACTTGTTTCTCTTGTTCGATGGAAGCATATAACTCACAAAAGTGATTCTCTCGTGAACCAGGAGTTTGGGCACTACGATCTGTGAGCAACAAGTGTTTCAACTGTTCAATTTGAAATCGACAGTGTTCAAGTTTTGAAGTCTGGGTTGAGAGAGCTTCCAATAAAATCGCGCGCTCAAAGGCAAGACTGTGGGCCTCTTCATGAGCCTCATCAACACTGCGCTGTAGATCCCATAGTTCTTGCAATGTGGCCTGGAGTTCTTCGTTGGTTGTATAGTTTGCCTCTTCCATTTGTAGTAAACGTCCTTGGAGAGTAGCGATACTAATGACTGGGTTTTCTTTCAGATTTCTACTACTAATATTTTCCAAATCACTTGAATAGTTAGTATCATATACAGTAGGCTCTTCAGTAGGACATAAATCATACCCTGGTGCCATTTCATTCCATTCACTTGATAATGAACTAGCTGTAACACCTCCAGTAAATATGGTGGTGGCTCCACCTGGAGTAAGACGTGTTGTTGTGCCAAGTGATTCAGGAGGAGACGAAGTGCAGGCAAATAACTTACGTGAACTAGGAGTTGTGGAATTCAATTTTGTGTTTTGATGGGATTCTACGCAGGAACCTTGATCTCCATCTTTTTTGCATGGACTTCCGAGAGCTAGCAACTGATTTCGGAGCTGGATGTTTTCAAGTTTAGTTTCCTCAGTCAATAAAATAGCTTTTGACGCCTCTTCTTTAGCACGACGAACTTCGAATGTTAACTTTTCTATTTCCATCTTGCGTGTTTCTGTGACTTGTGTTAATTCCGATATCCGAGCTTCATATTGCTTTTTCTCCCTTTCCACACGTGAAAGTAGGTCGCTGTTCACAGATATGCGGTGAGCGTTAGAATGATTGTTAAGGTGAGTTTGAAAGTGAGGTTCCGATGAAGTTAGCTCAGTGTTTTTAGAACAAACGGTGGGAATGTTAGCGGCACTACTATGGTGCTTTTGTTTACTGTTAAGATTTTTTCGTTTACCTGGCTGAGTAACCTGGAGATTTGACAAATGCATTGCCTGTCCTTTTCCATTATTGGCAATTTTAATATTTTGGTAGCTAGACGACTTTTTTAATGTGGGCTCGCCAGCTGCTCTCAGTTTAGATGATATTTGGGAATTTGGACGGACAAATAGAGAATCAGTATTAGTTGATCCGGACCTGCAATGACCCTGAGTGCGAGGAGTAGTAGAAAGAGCCGGCATTTTTTTTTCCTGTGGAAATCTACAAATGCCCCTGATATCTTCGGTGTTAGACTTATCAATTCTTTTTTTGGAGTGAGATATACTAGGAAGGAACGCTGAATTAAGGTTTTCTTTTTCCGAACTAAGATGGAGAATGGGTTCCTGTAGCATTAGATGATGTAGTATATCCCTAAAAACACGAAACATTTTACTTGAGGATAGGAGCATAATTCAAAATAGACCATTTATATTTCATTGGAACCAAAAGACTATAATGATAACATTAAATTGGATCAGATGGACTGTCAAACTATATTACTAACGGTTGTGTTCGAAGCTCTTGAAGAAACATTATTCAATCAGTTAGTAAAACATTAGACTCAGTAACCTATGACGTAAAGTATCATGAACTGAAAGCAATCACCATTTCAAGTTGACTAGGTTATTGATGTATTATTGAAAATAAAAACTTGAAAATACACACTTTGCCTGAACGACCTTTATATATAGAATCGAGTAATGTTATTACAAAGTCTATTTATTCAATGCAAAATAAGCAACAATGAATTAAGTTTAGTGAGTAACGCTATTGAAATATGAACTGACAAATAGTTGACTATTTAATTCTGTTAGAGTAGGTTATCGATACAATCATACTTTGTGCACTTTATCGATAACCAAAATTAAAATTTCTGTCGGGAGCAAGTCCGAGTGTGAGGCTGAAATTTATACAACAATCCTATACATTACAGAGGTTTCATTCAGCAAAAAATTGCCTTACAACTCATCTACGGAAAAGTATGATATACCGATAAGAATAAATTATTTAGGGCCTGAGTTAAATGTATTTACACTTACCTACTTATTTACGCAAGCAGAAAACTAATTCGCTAAAAAACAGGGGAAATGTATTTATACACTAATAAAAAGGTTAGATGACTTTCTCGCAGTTACATACAATATTTGGCCAAATAATCTTTATTCTTTTAGCTAGGATTTTTAAAAATAATTTAATTTACCCACATATTTGATAGGAAATTATCGTGTTGCTTAATCGAAATACCTTACACAACTGTCGATTAAAGATGTAGATGTCAAAAATAAATTTTTTTCGTATTTGGAGCCACTATAACGTCTCAAATATTTCCGCATATGTTATTCCATAGTTTACGGACAAGCTATGACTACACAAGTAACTAGGTCATAAATTATTAATCACTGAATATGTTGATAGAGAATTTGATAGAACATGAAACCAGGAAATATAATTCATCACCAAGTTTTACACAACTAGTAGTTTTATATAGAGGAAATACGGAACCGCTATTTACAGATGTTTACTTTAAAAAATGGTAGTGCTGAGAATGTGTGATTACTTGAGAGCTGTATGAAGGCTTTAATTTTGCTTAAAAAGTAGTATAAAAGCTATAGAGGATATGAACTAGTGATACCCACCCCAAACAAATTTTTGGGTAGCAAAGCCTCCGTTTGCTAAGTTCCTGCAAAACTTTCCAACGTTGAGGACATCATATTTATTTCATGAGAATGAGTTAGCTTTTATCTGAAGGCTCGTTTGTTTTAAATAACTACAAACCTGTGGAGTTCTGAACTGAGACATAAGGGATAATTACTCGTTACTGAAACGGCAAAACTGAAGTCGGGAATATATATCACTGAAGACCGACATTTATAAAAGAAACTGAAAATGACAGCAAAGTTACTCAGGATAATCAGAGATGTAACAGACTTGTTACAAATAGAAATATCGACATGAATCTGCTGAACTCTTCATACGGGAATAATAGTTAAAAAGTCCACCTATAAAGACTGCTTTATTCCACAACTTATTTCTGAACCAGAAAAAATGTGCAAATCTTAAAACGAATGAACGAATGATGCGAACTGTGATGCACATAATTGATGATGCTTCTTGAGCGATATAGGACACAGGATGCAGTTGACCTTAAGCACGAGCTGTGTCACTATCGGGGCTACATAAAGATAAACACCACTATGCGGTCGCGAATCTTAAATGTACGACAATTCGACCGATTCTTATTTAACCACTGGTTTACATTTTGTCTAAATAATGAGTTAACACATAATCTATAATGAAAACGCAATTAAGCAAGATGGACATGTTTCAATAGTAGATGGTAAACCTAGTGTCTTGTAGTTGTAAGAAAAACAAAGACTCAGTATATCAAACTAATTAAGTGAAACGTACCCAATCTTATCTTCGCATATTTCAAATAAGCCCCCGAATTGAAAATTGCGCGCTAGATCGCCTTGACAAGTATAGGCAGTTAGAAGTACAAAAGCAATGAAAACTAAATCGCCCATGCTTCAAAAGCTACCTTCTTATCTGGTGTTTACGTCTTATTTCGAACTGTAAAATCAGTTTATTGTTCGACTGTTACTGGTTTATTCTACCTCCGCATAAATTTGCAATGAACGTAATAAATCTGTTTATTCACTGTTGAAATGAGCTTCCAATAAATGATTTTGGTCTTAATACAAGCCTGAACTAATGAAACCGCAAGCACTTGCTATTTGAAACCGGTCGACATTATTACATAGCAGAAACCATTACATGACTTTGAGGATGGTAGTGAAGTTTTGGTGGGGAGTGGTGCTAAAAACGTCTAGCCCCTATAAAACAGGGTTTGAAATCTACCTTTGAACTAATATCTCAAAGAGGACACACTCTTTACATCAATAACCAGTATTAACAATTAATTTATAGTTTATTTCTGTTTATCAGTGTTATGGATTTATAATACGTCAAAGTTAATGACCATTTCTGAGACGTTAAATAGTCCTAAGTGACATCCAATCTGCCGTTTCGGCTCATTGAGGTTTGGAGCTGAGGCCAAAGCATTAGCACACCTAAAGAAGCTCCTCATACTACGAAACAGTGTAACATTTTTCAATCATATTTCTCGAAATACATGGACATGTAGCGGTAAATAGATCCCCAAAATAAATAGCTCTAAGTTTCCGACATTGGATGCTGACCAGATTAGTTTTAGTAGACTCACCTAGCTGAAGGCGCTCTGTCATGCATCCGCACCAGATCACGTGTGGTAACGCCATGCTCAACATCAACCGCAATCGCTAGCCAGATCAGATCAGAGAATTCCGACATATTGGTCATCACCAAATATACTCTTCCGATCTCCTCGACTCTGTCTTTTGATTTCTCTGGGTGGGAACGAAATATATTAGAAGGTGTTGCTGGTAGAAGCGTTGTCAAACACTGAATACCTGTGAAATCATCAGACAAAAGCAAACCATAAGAGTTGAGAAAAAACGTTTGTTTGAAAAGTTAGAGGCAGACGAACATGAGTTAGCTTAGTCAACGACTTTCGATAAACAAGGCGGCCTGCTTGAGCATCTGGGCTACCTGTTCCTGCCATCTAGATATTTCGAAAAGTTATCTATCTTTGTTTGTTTTAATATATCATTATGTCTATTAATTGCACAACCTATTCTGCTGCGTTTCTGAAAAGTGTACAGCCTTTCGTTGTCAAAGTTACAAAAAGCTCAAAAAGAGAGAATATTGTTGCTGGCAATATAAAACGAAAAGAATGTACATTATTCAGATATTCAGTTACTGGACTGTTAACATCTAGATGGCGATCACTCAGTATTTATCGCGAGGACCGACCAAGAAGAAAGAAACGGAAACTTGTTGAAATACTTTGTGCTGAGAATTCTATATTGTACCAATAATATAATATTGAATAAAGCTAATAATAATAATAATATTAATAATAAAACACGAACTGTTTACGTGGATTATCATGTAACATTGTCACGATGGTGTTCAATCAGCACTGCCGGCAGAGTGCTTTAACATGGTTACCCTAACGGCAAAAAGTAAAGGAGCAGATATAATCAATAAACAATATAAAAATTTACTGTAAACGAACCGATGTACAGGTAGGAATGTTTATTTTACTTAATTTGTAGATGGAGAAACATGAGATTTATAAAATGACCTTCTAAAAGGGGAGAAGAAGTCAAAGTTTCTTTGTAACCTTGCGGTGAACATGGACCGGAAACCTTTAACGTGTTGTGTCTGTTTAAATTAACATCATCAGCGTCAACGAGCCGGGCCTATCGAGATGTCTAATTTAACAATTAAGTCACCTTGATGATGTCACAGGTATTCAGTGTTTGACAACGTTTCTACCAGTAACACCTAGTATATTTCGTTCCCACCCAGAGAAATCAAAAGACAGAGTCGAGGAGATCGGAAGAGTATATTTGGCGATGACCAATATATCGGAATTCTCTGATCTAATCTGGCTAGCGATTGCGGTTGGTGTTGAGCATGGCGTTACCACACGTGATCTGGTGCTGATGCCTGACCAAGCGCCTTCAGCTAGGTGAGTCTACTAAAACTAATCTGGTCAGCATCCAATGTCGAAAACTTAGTGCTATTTATTTTGGGGATTTATTTACCGCTACAGATCACCCCCCCCTAGTGAGGCAGTGACGACCCTAAGACGTGGCCAGCCAGAAGTTTAAACCCAACGAGTTTGTCGTTCGTAAACACTCTTCTGATAGCTTACTAAGTGTAGCAGCGTCTGGTCGTCTTTCCTTACTATATGTGACCGAGTTACGACATAGTAAAAAAGAAAAAGGTACAACGAAAATTTCGGATCCTCATAAACGTCATCGTTCTTTTCCAGCCGTCCTGGAAGAGAAAAAAGAAAATGTAAGTGCATGTCGAAATACACTCGTATGTGCGTAAAAACACAATGTCGGCGGGAAAAAAATGGAAAATAAACTCATGAACACGTAATAGCGTTAAAAAAAATGTTTTTTTGTTTTGTTTTTTTAAATAGAAATAAAAATATATAAGCATATTAAAATTGTTTTTTTTAAAAAAAAATAATATAAAATGTCGAGAAGTGCCTTACGTGCAATAGTCGTTTAAATGTTCTGGAAATCTCACCCCTCTTCCAGAACGCGTCGTTTTAAGTTTATTTTCGGATACTGTCGAAGTATTATCGTGTGTGTTGGTTGTCGGATGAGGTATTATAAGTGTCGGAGTCGTGTCGTTCGGTTGTACCGAAGAAAAATCCACGTAGATAGGATTTCCTTCTAAATACGCTGCTTTTAAGCGATCGATGCTGATGCTATCGTTGGTTCCGTTCTTATCGACTATATAGTACTTAGATTCACGTTGAAGAACTTTGAAGGGTCCTTCGTATGCTGGTTCGAATGGTCGTCGATGCGAGTCTCGACGAACGAAAACGTGTGTACTATATCGTAAGTCAGGTTGAACGAAAACGTCAGTTGATTGAGGTCGAGTGGAAGCAGGTTTAACTGAACGCATTGCGTTTGTAAGCCTGTTCGTGTAGGAGGTTAAATCCATGTTCATTGAAAAGGACGAAGGATCCACGAATTCTCCTGGAAGTCGAAGTGTCGTTCCATAAACGAGTTGAGCTGCAGTGTATCCAATGTCAGCTTTCACTGCATTGCGGATACCTAGTAAGACGAGTGGAAGAGCGTCGGTCCACTGTGAAACGTTTGCAGCTGATAGTGAAGCTTTCAGTTGTCGGTGAAAACGTTCTACCAACCCGTTTGCTTGTGGATGGTAGGCGGTCGTTCGGAAGCGAGTGATTCCTAAAAGTGTGGTCAGACGACGGAAAAGATCGGATTCAAACTGACGTCCGCGGTCTGTAGTGATGGTTGAAGGGCAACCGAAGTTTGCTACCCATCGTTCGACGAAGGTGCGGGCCACTGTTTCAGCAGTGATGTTCTTGATAGCTACTGCTTCTGGCCATCGAGTGAAACGGTCTACGCAGGTTAAGAGATAAGAGTATCCATTTGAATCTGGTAAAGGTCCTACCAAATCCAAATGAACATGGTCGAAACGAGCATCGGGAGTTTTAAACGAGCCTAAGGGACATTTATTGTGTCTGATAACCTTAGATTTTTGGCAGCTTACACAGGAGCGTGCCCACTCCCTCACGTCTTTATTCATTCCAGGCCAGCAAAAACTTTCTGCTATAAGCTTGATGGTTGCACGAACACCTGGATGAGAAAGTTTGTGCAATGTGTTGAAGACATTGCGTCGATAATGTTTCCGCACGATTGGGCGATCCCTACCTGTAGATGTGTCACAAAGTAAGGTTTCGTTACCTGTTCCCATCTGTTTGATGCGTAGTTTAAGTGTTGTGGACGATAACTCGTGCTGAAGATCAGTGTCTTCTTTTTGAAGCTGGGCGAGTTTAAGAAGGTCGATTCCTTGGAAACTGTTCAAGGAAGTTATGCGAGATAAAGCATCTGCAACTACATTGTTTGCTCCAGAGATGTGTTGAATGTCTGAAGTAAACTGCGAAATGTAGTCCAGTTGTCGAGACTCACGGGGAGAGTACTTGTCAGAAGGAGAGCTTAACGAGAAAGTGAGCGGTTTATGGTTCGTGAAAAGAGTGAATTCACGACCTTCGATGTAGTGTTGAAAATGTCTCACAGCACAATACATAGCTAGGAGTTCCCTACCGAATGTGCTGTACCTCGATTCGGTGTCTAGCAACCTTCTAGAGAAAAATACCAAGGGTTGCCGAGAGTTGTTAACCCATTATTGTAAGACTCCTCCGATTGCTGAGTCGGATGCGTCTACTGCGATGCTAATGGGTGCTCGGGTGTCCTGATGTGGGAGCATTGTTGCTTTAGCAATCAGTTCCTTAACTATGGAGAATGCTTTCCGTGCGTTGTCGTCCAAATTAATGGATTTCGCATTTCCACGAAGTTGGTCGGTTAGAGGTTTCATGAGTAATGCGCATTTCGGTATGAAACGTCTATAGAAACTTACCAGGCCGTTAAACGTGCGTAATTGCTTGACGGTGGTCGGTTCTGGGTAATCCAGAATTGCCGCCACTTTGGTCCTAAGGAGTAGAATGCCTTGAGCATCTATAGTGTGTCCTAGGAAGTCTAACGAGTCGGTTTCGAATTGGCATTTCTGAACGTTTACAGTTATGCCATGTTTTTGAAGTCGTTCGAAAACAAGATCCAGATGCTTGAGATGTGTTTCTCTGTCCGGACTTGCGATTAGACAGTCATCAACATACGCTTGTACGAAGTTGAGACCTCGAAAAACATCGTCTATGAATCTTTGGAATGTTTGAGCAGCATTCCTTAGACCGAAAGGCATTCGCAAAAATTCATAGAGTCCGAAAGGAGTTATGATAGTTGTTTTCGGTATGTCGTCAGTAGCCATAGGGATTTGGTTATACGCTTTAACCAAGTCGATTTTCGAAAAGACAGTTGTA